GCTAATTTCTTTGACAAACCCATCATTTCTAATTTACTGGCTGCTGCTTCAGTAATTGAACTGGCTTTCTGAAAGCTACAATGGCAGCTAAGGAAATCATAATAAAGGTCTAAAATAAGATAAATGGAGAAAGTGACTTATTATCTTTTCTTATTTATCTGGTTATTACATTGTTAATCATTACACCATTAAAATGTCAGATATGCCTCCTCAAACTGCAGAGCATTCATTAGCATTTATTTAAAAAAGTAAAAGTAAGCAATGTTGGATCTCTTACTGCAATCTCAGAAACAATAGCTTTTTCTTATAGGTTCTCATTGTGTCAAAATCAAAAGTATCTAAACCTCACATTAATCTGGAATCAAAATACTTCACCAACTTGCTATATAAGTAAGCGGCAGCCTGAATTTACTATTTTAACACAAAAGATCCCATTCTCTCTTCACTGGCATTGGTCATCTCTATATCCGACCTTCTGGTATATACGTATTAATAGCCACCACTATCAACTGGAGCTCGGGTGGCTTAGTGGTAAGGAAGAGCACTACCAATGCAAAAGAATGTGGTTCAAATCTATCAACCACTCCACAGGAGAAAGACAGACATTCTCCTCCTGTATGATTTACTGCCTCTGAAGATCCTCTGGAAGGTCCGCTGAGGCTTATTTCTGATCCTACTGTACACAACACATAGTACTGACTGCAGAGCACCTACGTTGAATTTCCAGCACCTGCAAACATACTGCCATGTAGCTCCCTTACATAAATGATTTTACCATCCCAACTATCTCACATTACAGTCAACCAAGAAATGCTTAATCACTCCTAAACGAAGGGCCATGGCCTTCACTTTCAATTTGTTAAAAGAACTTTCCTGGAATTCATGGCAGTTCTTGAAACATCTAGCACTCATGAGACTCCCATATTCCCTCCAGTCCTACATTTCTATCTCTAGCTTAGCAGTTCAAAGAGTATGTGTTATGAAAGACATTTTGGTTTCCAAGAGTAAGAGCTCAAAATTTCCATAAGAAAGAAAAGAGGAAAATTTTTAAACTGTTCATGATTATGGACATGTATTAATATCAACAAGCCCAATTCATTCTCATTCTCCTAAGGCTAAGACAGATCCAGTCCCAACAATTTCCTATTATGCACAGATATTTCAAGAAATTCTTGTTCTGCGTTTACTTTAGCAGACACACATACACACACACACACACAGAGAGAGAGAGAGAGAGAGAACTGAAAAGTTGTTTTAGCTATGAAACATAAAACATTTCTGGCTATGATTGGTTTCCTGAGTCCTCCAACTACATTATTTAGAAAAAGAGAAGAAAGTTTCCATTTCATAGTTGTTTTTCAGCATTTTAGAATAAATCACCCAATGATTCATTATGAACACATACTGAAAGAATTCTGTGGTGCTTTGTTCGGTGTAGTGTCACTCTTATCAAAGACCCAGATTTAAGAAATTAGCGTAGGTAGTATACACAGTATTCAGTCATAGAACAAACATTTATTAAGCAACCAGCATGTACCAAGAATATATAAAGCACAAAGACCATAGTAGTAAATCAGACCAGAAAAGCCCCTACCTTGAGAGTATTTACCCTCTAGTTTTAAGAGGAAGCTTAAGTCTGTTTCTATTCTTACTTAAGTAAATTTCATTTAAAGAAAAGTGGTGGAAATACAGAATATTCTAGATGTGTAGTGATAAGCAGAAAATAATAAAAATCTTTGGTTGCACACAGCTCAGCATGTTTCTCTCACTAGTAGAACTAAAATGGCACTAAGTGCCCAAGGACTGAGAAAAAAAAGACAACAAGAAAGTATCAGATCTAATTTTAAACTGGAACAGAAGGAAAATTCTTCAAAATTCTACAAATAGGCATGCAATGAAATAATGTCATGGAAAATAAGATGGGCTGATTATTTATTCTAATACAGGTCATTATTTCATAGGTTGACTGATCCAACAAGTATTGTGCTCCCTCCCCAGAGATAGTATGACCAATTCATAGCTGATCTTCTAGAGGGTTTTCAGAGGCTGTAAGTCACACAGGAGGAGATTGCCCATCTTTCTCCCATGGAGCTATTGATGGCTTCGAACTTCCAGAGAGGTGCTTCACTTGGGTTAGCAGTACAGCTCCCTGCAGACTACACTAATACCACTAGAGCCAATCAGTGAGGAAACCTAGTAAATAAAGAATACTTTCTAGGGCAATTAGGTTGATATGCAATGTTGTTGGTACTGTAGTTTGCCAGAGTCAGAAGTGACTCATAGTTAACTCTCTAGTGGAGTTTCAGACAGTTAATCTCATGGGAGAAGACAGCCATCTTTCTCGCGTGGAGCAACTGGTGGATTTGAACCACGTGCCTTAGGGTTGGCAACACAGCTCCTTACTACTAGGCCACCAGAGCAATTTTAAAAGAGAAAGCAAACAGGAAAAAAACCAAAACCCCAACCAAAAATTTTCTAAACCAAACCCCTAAATCATTTTTATTGTATATAAAACAAAGAAAGTGGTGTTATATAGAAAATTCCAAAAGTAATAAATCATTAATTAAATTCCCTATTGCCATTTTGTCTATACAAAAATGTACAGAGTCATCAAAGGTAGGGTTCATTAACCTCCAACGACATCAAGCACAAAGGTATGACAGGGAAAGGAGGTGAAAACAGATTAAAACATACTATATATTAAAGACAAAGGACTGTAAAATAGAAAGGGAATCAGTGCTTTCTAACCTAATAATCATATACTCACTGATAGAGAAAGTACGATTTACTAAACAATTCTATACAAATTACACTCTTACTAACAAGCTTGCATGCACTTGCGCTCTCTCTCTCTCCCTCCCTCCCTCTCCCTCTATCCTTCCCCTCTCCCCCTTCCCCTCTCTCTCTCTCCTCCCTATTCCCCTCTCCCCTCTTCTCTCCTCTCTCCCCTCTATCCTCTCTCCTCTCTCTCTTTCCCCTCTCCCCTTTCCCCCATCTCTTTCTCTCTCTTCAATTTAGGAAACAACTTTGTGTTTCCATGGTTGTAAATTGCCTAGAAGGAGACTTTCTCTTGTGGAGTTGCTGGTGGATTCAAATAGCCACCAAGGTGGAGCCATTGAGTGAGCAATGCAACTCCCTACTGACTGTGCCACCAGAACCCCCTTCACAGCAATAAGGTGAAAATAAGTTTCATTTTACAAAAAGAAATTCAAGTTCTGAGAGTGTAAGGGGCTTGGCAAACAGCACACAGCTGATAAGCAATGGAGTCGAATATCTGAACTCCAAACCCCAAAGTGCACCACTTTCCAGTGCACCACTGCTGCTACAGACCGCCTCTCCAACTGTCAATAAGGATGGAGAGCCTTAGAAGCACATGTATTACTGATGTACACATACGAAACTACTTTTTCTCCTCTATGAAACTAACTCTGAAAGGAAAAAGAAATCTAATTTCTCTTTTCAAAATCAACAGGACGTCGCTGGAGAGGGCAGTAGCAAAGAGAGGAAGGTCATTCCAGGGCAAGAAAGAGACTCTTTTTTTTTTTTTTTACCTTGACTGTGGAGAGGAGTTATATCACATGTGTAATAAAAGGGAACACAGAACTTTAAATACATATACACATACAAATAAAACAGGAAATCCGAACAAAATCTATAAATTATACCAATGTCAGCCTCCTGGTAATTGATGTAAAATGCATGTTTTTCGAGAAAATGGGTAAAGGATACACAGAATATTTCTGTATTATTAATTTTAACTACATACATACGTGCAATTATCTCCATAATAAATAATCCTATTTTAAAAAAATAAACAGAATATTCACAGCAAATATTAAACCAAATCTCACCTGCCACTGAGTTGATGCTGACTCATGACAACTCTCTATCAAATTTCTGAGGCTGTAAATCAAAATGGAAGCTGACTTCTCATCTTTGTCCCTCTGGGCAGCTAACAGATTTGAACTGCTGTCCTTTTGATTTTCAGCCCATGTAACCCACCTTGCCACAAAGAGTCCTTCTATTCATATCACCAATGTTAATATTACAACAGGGTCTACCTATTGTTGTAGATATCATAAAGTTGACTCCAACTCTTGGTAACCTTGTGTACTACAGAATGGAACTTGCGGACACATACCTCTCTCCCAACTGTCATGGAGTTGGGTCTGACTCATACCTAACCTTTCAGGTTTCCAAGGCTATAAATCACCTAGGAGGCGACTGTGCATCTTTTACCTGAGATACAGCTGGAAAATTCAAACCACCAGAGATGCAAGGTCGTTAGATTAGCAGGGTAGCTCTCTATACACTAGACAATTAGAGCTTCCTATTATGCAGATGCTGCTGTTGTTGGTATGTACCATCAAGTCAGAACTGACTCATAGGTAACCCTTCAGTGAGTTTTCAGAGGCAGTAAATCACACAGGATACTGTCCACCTTTCTCCTGCAGAGCAGCTGCAGGGTTCAAACCACTTACCTTTCAGTTGGCAGCACAATCTTTTACCCACAGGACCAAATTCCCTTTAATCATAATAGTTTTGGGGTTTTTTTTTTTAAATTTTTTTTGTTTTGTGTGTGTGTGGCTGTACCATCAAATCATATCTGACTGGTAAATGAGGAGATTGTCCCTCCTTCTCCAGCAGAGCATCTGGTGGATTCAAACCACGTACCTCTGGAATCAGTGCAGCTTCTTGCCAAAAGGCCAACAGAGCTCACCCATAATAGTAATTCTTTATCAAGCACTTACTACAGGTCTGGCACATAGTGCTAGTTACTTTAGAAAGTACAATGAAGAAAAAACTGTGGATTCTCATGTAATTCACATATCACTGAAAAGTAGAAGAGCTTGCTTTTTGAACCTACATTTTTCTAATGCTAGAGTTTGTAAACTTTGCTGTTTTGTAGTTCAAAAGAAAGAAATATTCTGATAGATGGCACTAGAGTGAGAGGAAAAAATCACACCTAGTAGTAGGAAAATCATTGAAATTTTGCTGACCTGCTTGTAAGTTCCATCTAACAAGGTGTCCAAGTGTTGAAGCGGGGCAGGTGTTTTATCTTTGAACCTTGTTAACAGTCGTCTTTGAATGGCCCGAAACTGTACAGCTCTTTCAGATAACAGTTCTTCTAATTTTTCACCATTCATCCGCAGCTAAAAAGAAAATTTCTTATATTCAGATTAAATGCTCACAATAAAGATACAGTCAAGGACAATGAAAGTCGATAAAAGAGTAATGAGTGAAATAATATTGTATAATGAATATTGTGGTTCTGGTGCATACATTCTAATATAATATAGTGGAGTAGATCAAACAGGAATGTAATAAAAATGACTGCAAGACTGAGAAAAAACTAGATTACTTTATAAGCATGTTTATAACAATTAAGCATCTGGAGGGGGGAAAAAAGGAAAAATTCTCCTTTATTCTTTACAGCAAGTATTAATTGCAGAGGGATCAAAAGCTTAAACACAATCCAAGTACTAGGGAAAAATAGAATGCTTCAAAATAATGTGAAATGGCAAAGACTTTCCTAAGTAAGAGTGAAAAGCTAAAACCTGATAAATTATTAATTTAAAAAAATTGATTCTGCATGGAAAAAAATAAGAAAAGTGTTAGGAAAAAATAACAAAGGAGAGGAAGAGGAAAATAGATGATAGATAAATAGATAGATAGCTGGATAGATAGATAGATAGATAGATAGATAGATAGATAGATAGATAGATATAGATAGATAGATAGATACCAATAGATATATATCAGAAGTGGCATCTACTTCCTAAATAACAGGCTTCCAGAAACCCTATGAACTTCAATAAATGTTGATAGTTGTGTCAATTTCTTTAATTTGTGATTATTTTTGTAGTTGCTAAATTTTTAAAGTCTTTCTCATTCTGAATGAAATATATTTACTTTTGTACTTATTTTTTTTAAAAGGCTTTGCTATTAATGTCCAGAACTCACCTACAAACCAATAAGAAAAGGATCACAACCAAACAACTTAACATGAAAAAGAACAACAATCCAACAGAAAAATGGGCAAAATTTACCAAAAAGTTAATACAAATAGCTATTGGATCTAGTAATGCCACATGTAGGATCTTATATATATATTTTAAAAAATTGCAGAAAAACAATGCACATACAAGAGCAGTCATTAGAGAATTATTTATTCTATGACTATAGTAAAATATTATTAACAATTAAAATATTTATCAGTAAGAGAACTTTAAATACATATACACATACAAATAAAACAGGAAATCCGAACAAAATCTATAAATTATACCAATGTCAGCCTCCTGGTAATTGATGTAA